TGTTAACACTCTGTAATAATTCTTTAGTATATCACTTGTGTGGTGTAGAAGAGAATTATTTATGTCGTGATACTGCTTGCAAACCAATGATGGTAAGATGATGTCATGGGGTAGGACTGGATAAGTCTGACTTCTTCCTACTCCATTCAAGCATGTACTAGGTATAAGCACATTGATATTGGATTATGTGTAAAATTATGTGTGTTGTCATATCAACTGTTTTTACATGCTTGAAAGAATAAATCAAATCAAATCAAATAAATAAAACAGTTGTTTTTGTTTTCTGTATTTCTAAATCCCGGTTACACCCCCTATTCTTGTCAGACCGGACCTGATCGACTTTGACAAGCTGAAGAAATCAAACGCTCACTACAACCTGCAGAATGCCTTCAACCTGGCCGAGCAGCACCTGGGACTCACCAAGCTGCTGGACCCCGAGGGTGAGACGCAACACATGCAGTCACAGTCAACCTGCTGTGTCATATACCGTGCGTTGTGAGCCGTGTTTTCTGTGTGCAGACATTAGTGTGGACCACCCTGACGAGAAGTCCATCATCACCTACGTGGTGACCTACTACCACTACTTCTCCAAGATGAAGGCACTCAAGGTGGAGGGGAAGAGAATCGGCAAGGTGATAAACCAGCTCCCTACACCCCACGCTTAGTCTCATCTCAGACATTAAAGGACCAGTCTGTTTTTTTTTAAAGCTGTTTTATCTGGTGGTGTTTCCTAGGTTCTGGACAATGCCATCGAGACAGAGAAGATGATCGAGAAGTACGAGTCTCTGGCATCAGACCTGCTTGAGTGGATCGAACAGACCATCATCATTCTCAACAACAGGAAGTTTGCCAACTCTCTGGTGGGAGTTCAGCAGCAGCTGCAGGCCTTCAACACCTACCGCACCGTGGAGAAACCGCCAAAGTCAGTCTATGCTCCATGGCAGCCTCCAGTTCATACCCGTTGCATTTGTTCTTTACTAAGAAGTGTCCATAAGTCTGGTTAGAAATCACAGGAAGAAAGTCAGTGCTCTCAGTAACTGCACCACTTGCCTGACAGTTAGCGGTTAGAGTTAGGGGTCCTTGCTCACGGGCAGCACAGTGGTGCCAATGAGGGTGGGGCAGCTGTAGCTTTGCCACCTGTCCCATCCAGCTTTAAAGGTGCATTGTGAGATTTAGTGACATCTAGTCGTGAAGTTTCAGATTGCAATATTCAACAAAGCTTTCACACACATTAACAGCCCTCACAGCAATTATGGTAACTGTAGAACAAATTGTGCACTCAGAAAACAAGTGCGGCTAAGTTGATGAGGCACAAGCTAAAGGCAGCTCCCTTGACTGCAGCGGGTGACCCGGCAGCGGCCATGTTCTTAAGCTACAACTTGCATTTAGCTTAACTTGGTAGGTTAAATTACCTGTGGAGCAGGAAACGGGCAACTTCAGTGTTGTTCTGGGAGCATCTGTCTCACATGAAGGATGTCCATCTGGGAAAGGCAATAAATATGACGTTTGTGAGGCTTAAAGCTGTGTCATTTGTGTGTCTCTTTTGTGTTGATTTATCGCTCTTGTCATTTGTGAGGTCATACTTTGTGTCACTGTATTCGAAGCTGTTATACTGCACAGGTTTGTCATGAGTTTTGTCCCTTCAGTTGTAATTAAACCAGAAACCGAAGCTGAAACATAATGGATCACACACCCGTTAACTGTCTGTGTGTGTGTGTGTGTGTGTGTGTGTGTGTGTAGGTTCACAGAGAAGGGAAACCTGGAGGTGCTTCTATTCACCATTCAGAGTAAGATGAGGGCCAACAACCAGAAAGTCTACACTCCTCGCGAGGGCAAACTCATTTCTGACATCAACAAGGTAACCACACCTGCCACGATGTGGTTGTTTACTATCAGCGGTCCCAGTGTGACTGTGGGCCGCTGTAGGAAACTACACACACAGTTTGTTATTCACAGTGTGTAAATTTTATAGTTTTCTTAAATTAGAATTTCAAGTTCTTTTTAAAGGCAGTGGCACCCCCCACACCCCCCACCCTCCTCCTCAAAGCATTTGAGCCTGAGTTTTATTTATTTGCACAAGATAAAATCAAAGGACATGAAAATGTTAGTGTAATTACAAAAAAGGCTAAAAACATTCATTACCTTTATTTAAACAACCAGTATTGACAATGTCCAATACAGTACAAATCATTTATGTAAGAAAGAGAGATTAAAACAATCTAATTAAATGAACACTAGTGAAATATAACACAGTAGCAACATTGAAATCCAAACAGATTCCACCGACCTAAGTGTGGGGGTGTCACTGATGGAGGTCACTGTGTGTGCTTTTTTTAGGCGTGGGAGCGTCTGGAGAAGGCGGAGCACGAGCGGGAGCTGGCTTTGAGGACGGAGCTGATTCGTCAGGAGAAACTGGAGCAGCTCGCCCGCCGCTTTGACCGCAAAGCCGCCATGAGGGAGACCTGGCTGAGCGAGAACCAGAGGCTGGTCTCCCAGGTAGCGCTCACGTCCAGATATACAGGAAATCGCCAAGTTCTCATATTGTTCAGAACAAGGCTTTATTAAATAACAATGGATCAATATGTTCCTCTCTTCTCTCCTTGTTTCCTTTCCTTTTCCTCATTTTCTTGTTCCTATGTCTTCTGCTTTTTTCCTTGCCTCTCTCCTCCTTTCTTCTTTCCTTTCCTTGTATCCTTTCCTCTGTCCTCACCCAGGATAACTTTGGATTTGACCTCCAGGCTGTTGAAGCTGCTACTAAGAAGCACGAAGCCATAGAAACAGACATCGCAGCCTATGAGGAGCGAGTTCAGGTCAGCGCATCACCTCGACTGTGGACGGGTGTAAACCCGGAGTAGACCGGTATAAACCATGACGCGTTCGTTAGGTGGTCTTCAGACCTAATACATTTTAACTTGGTCTAACTTTGCTGAGATTGTCTGAACTCTGAGGAGCTGCCGAACAACATGGTAGATATGCTGCAGTGTGACTTTGCAGCAGGACACAGCAATAGAAAGCTGAACTCTGTCTGGAAATCTCCCTTTCATTGTCAGCGTTTCAGAGGATGCACATCACTCACACACACGCTGAGCTGTAACTACCTTCACCGGTGTGGAAGGGCACGCGTACCTTTGTACGTGCCTGGACCGTGTGTGGTGTTTCTGTTGTAGGTCTTTAGCATGACAACACCTTTTTGTAGTGCAGCGACCAAAACCAGGCAGAATCTGTCTTTTGTTATTCATTCAGTCCTCCCTCTGTTCGCTCTCCTCCTCCCTCTCACTGGTACAGGCAGTGGTTGCCGTGGCGAAGGAGCTGGAGGCAGAGAGTTACCATGACATCAAACGCATCACAGCCAGGAAGGACAATGTGATCCGGCTGTGGGAGTACCTGTTGGAGCTTCTGAAGGCCCGCAGGCAGAGACTGGAGTTGAACCTGGGTCTGCAGAGAGTCTTCCAGGAGATGCTCTACATCATGGACTGGATGGACGAGATGAAGGTACGGAGGGGGAGGCGGGAACCAATCAGGACACAGCTGAGTATTTAATTAGTTATATTTTGTCCAAAAAGTGTTGGAAATATTGAAACTACGACCTTGTCTTTGACATTTTTGGTTCATGGCAGTAGAAACTAATGTAGCGCTAAAATTCGTTTATGAGAAGATGTTTTGACCTTTGACCCCGCTCCCTGTCTCTGCAGATGCTGCTGCTCTCTCAGGATTATGGGAAACACCTGCTGGGCGTGGAGGACCTGCTGCAGAAACACACCCTAGTGGAGGCCGACATCGGCATCCAGGCCGACCGAGTCCGAAACGTCAACAGCAATGCTCAGAAGTTCGCCACAGACACCGAGGGTGAGACTGAACGAGTGGACAAAGAGAAGACGTTTCTCATCTGGCAGGAGAGACATATGGGACAGTAATGATCTCTCTGCTCTCCTCCTCTTCCTCAGGCTATAAGCCCTGTGATCCTCAGATCATCAGGGATCGCGTCGCTCACCTGGAGTTCTGTTACCAGGAGCTGAGCCAGCTAGCGGCCGAGCGGCGAGCTCGCCTCGAGGAGTCCCGTCGCCTCTGGAAGTTCTTCTGGGAAATGGCAGAAGAGGTTATTATAATTGGGGTTATTAAAACAACTGGTCATTTACCCGGCAGGCAAACTGCCGCGTCTGTAGATCAGCCGCTGTCATCACCTGATTACCTCACTGGTAATGAGGTGATGACACCCGTGTAGATGGATACCACAGTAGAACCAGGCTGATCAGACGTAACACCGACAAACCAGAGTTTGCTCTAGTTATGTAACTGAGGCCTGAATGTGTCTGCACCTTGTAGGAGGGATGGATCAGAGAGAAGGAGCAGGTCCTGTCCTCCGAGGATTATGGGAAGGATCTGACAGGAGCGTTGCGACTGCTGAGTCAGCACAAAGCCTTCGAAGACGAGATGAGCGGGCGAGCCGCCCACCTGCAGCAGACCATCAAACAGGGTGAAGAGCTGGTGGCTGACAACCACTTTGGAGCCGACAAGATTAAAGAGCGGATCCGAGACGTCCAGGTACGCTGCCCTTTGACCTTTAGTCGCTTCTGAAGACTGGTTAGTCGTCTTTAGTCCACTTCCTCTCTGTGTTCTGTTTTACCTTTGAAACAGTTTTCAGCAACAGACATGAGTCATATGTGAAGAAGAAACTAAACAGTGTCTGATGTAACTGTTGCCTGGTTTTCTAACTTCCTGCCCTCTGCCTGTGCTACAGGAGCAGTGGGCGGCGCTGGAGCGTCTTTCCGCTGTCCGCAAAGCTCGTCTGCAGGAGGCCTGCAACCAGCACCAGTTCCAGGTGAGAACACTGGCACTTGGTTTTCATAGTGTCTCTGAGAATCTGGTGGGTTGGATTTGAAAGCACAAAACTACACTTTCCATTTCAGTCTCAGTGTGTCTGGTTGTCTAGCAGCCTGAAAGCAACACACAAAATAAAATACATTTTCTGCTCCGGTAAGAAATGCTGCCCGTCGAGGCAGATTTACGCTTTGTGATATAGGGCCACACTGATAAAATGTGACTTAACATGCAGGCCGATGCCAACGACATCGATACGTGGATGCTGGACGTGCTGCGAATTGTCTCCAGCGTTGACGTCGGCCACGACGAGTTCTCAGCTCAGACTCTGGTGAAGAAACACAAGGACGTGGCTGAGGAGATCGCCAGCTACCGGCCCGTCATCGACGCCCTGCACGAACAGTCGCAAACGCTGCCGCCCGAGAAAGCTGACTCTGAGGAGGTAAAACTCTGACACGGTGAACTTGATTCCTGGATCAGTGGAGAAACCTGTAAAGGAGCTTTAAATGTAAAATCAGTCTGAGGCTCGTTGTTAATTTCATGTGAAGAATTCAGACAATGAACATGGCGTCAACAAAGCTACATGTATTATTGCTTGAAGTTTTTCTGGAAGACGCCATTCACCGTTGGTCGTGTGTCTGCAGGTCCAGAGCCGGCTGGCGGGCATTGAGGAGCGCTACAAGGAGGTGGCGGAGCTGACGCGGCTCAGGAAGCAGGCTCTGCAGGATGCTCTGGCGCTCTACAAGATGCTGAGCGAAGCCAACGCCTGCGAGGTGTGGATCGACGAGAAGGAGCAGTGGCTCAACAGCATGGAGATCCCGGAGAAACTGGAGGACCTGGAGGTGGTCCAGCACCGGTAAGGATCGGCACAGGGTTCAGCCGAACAGAGTCTTGATCATCGACAGACAAGTCAGAAGCAGAAGGAATCGTAGAATCCCAGACAAACTTTAAAAACTCCTCCCTTTATAAAATATAAAGCTCAGTTTTTAAGAGTTGAGGTTTCTGTCCAGGTTTGAGAGTCTGGAGCCGGAGATGAACAACCAGGCGTCGCGGGTGGCTGTGGTGAACCAGGTCGCCAGACAGCTGGTCCACAGCGGACATCCCAGCGAGAAGGAGATCAAAGCCCAGCAGGACAAACTGAACACCAGGTAATCTGACTGGGATTAAACTGGTGTGTGAACTGGAATTAATGTGAGATTGAATGGAAATGAAACAACACTGAGTGATAATTTAGCAAAAACTGTACCTAGGACTAGGATTCAACAGACAATTCAGCTGTTTTAAAACATGCATCTGGTTTTTCAGGTAATTCACTGGGATTAAGCAGCTACCCAAACTGGGAATTAAAAAGAAACCAAATAGGACTCTGTCAAAAGAATTTTCAAAGAAGCAACGAAGTCACTGGAATCTTTCAATAAGAGATTGGTTTACTTGCACCAAGAAGTCAAGTCAACATAGGCATACAGAGTTGTCTGAATAAACTAGTCTAAACATCACAATATATAGGACAAAGGGAACTCCCTAAAGATGCATCCCAGGCGTTAATCCAGTTGAAAAGAAGATTCAAACAGGAAAAGTGAACTTGAGAGGCTTTGCCCTGATAACCCCTCAGACGATAAACAATATGTTGTCCGTTCATTTTCACAATATATGGCAGAAAAGAGTTTATGGCGGGCTCCTTTAAGTCTGGAGCGTCATCCGGCTGAACATATAACAACACATAGAGTATTAAAAACAAAGATAAAACATGTCCTTCAGTTCACACAAGCAGTGTCTCAGGTCTCAGGTCTCTGTGATCTGTAGTCTGTTCTGAAAGCTTAAAATCCTTTGAATAACATATGTTGGTTAATATATTGATTAGAACACAGTTTAAAACATACTTAATAATGTCATTTTCATTAGACAAACAACTAAACTCTCATTAAACAAGTAAATAAACTGGGCCTGAATATCTAGTCAACAGATTAAGAAGTGAAGTAAACCAGGATTATTCCCTGAGCAGCAGCATAAACTAACCAGGTAAATAAATTAGTCATACAGAAAGAAAGTAACTAAACCAGGATTACACCTCAGTTTATGTGACGATCTGTGACGGAGTTCAGCGTCTGACCTTTGGCTACCCAGGTGGTGAAACTCAGATTCAACAGTAAACTAAACAAGAAAATTAAGATTAATCAGGTAAATTTACCAGATGAACTTTAACTGTGATGCAGCTGCTCAAACCAAGACATGAAGTAAGATTCAGGTCGAGCAAATGAAACAAGTAAACCAGGACAAATGAACAGTGAACTGACCAGCTAACCCACCTGTCTGTTTCATCCAGGTGGAGTCAGTTCAGAGACCTGGCGGACCAGAAGAAGGACAGTCTGAACTCAGCTCTGGGTGTCCAGAACTACCACCTGGAGTGCAACGAGACCAAGTCCTGGATCAAAGAGAAGACCAAGGTACACACAGACCAGAGACTGTTTGTACATCATAGCAACTGATTCGCTCGAGCTCACGCTCCCTCGCTCTCCATCCTCCTCCAGGTGATTGAGTCGACTCAGGAGCTGGGGAACGACCTGGCCGGCGTCATGGCTCTCCAGAGGAAGCTGACAGGGATGGAGCGAGACCTGGCCGCCATCGAAACCAAGCTGGGCGACCTGGGCAAAGAGGCGGACCATCTGGCCTCCGAGCACCCAGAGCAGTCCGAGGCCATAAAAGGGCGTCTGGCTGAGATCACCGGCGTCTGGGGCGAGTTGAAGGTTGGTGGATATTTGTTGCAATATACGGTCCAATCAGATTTCTGCCCTGTTCAGCAGTCAGTTTTTAGATGTACCTGAAAAAGGTGACTTTCTGTTCCAGCTGCTGGCCTGAAGGAAAGCCCATGTCAGAGCTGCAGACACGTGTCTTAATTTGTTTAGAGAAAAGCATAGTACTACGCTCCTGGAGAGCAGTAAGATATGAGCCCAGCTGAAAGAAGCAGACGCGCATTGCAGAAAACAGATAATATTTCAGGACTTTAGCACAAACTCTGCTTCTCTAATGATAGAACTCATCTGTTTTCTGCGCACAGGACACCATGAAAAACCGAGAGGAGTCCCTGGGCGAGGCCAGCAAACTGCAGCAGTTCCTGCGCGACCTGGATGACTTCCAGTCGTGGCTGTCGCGCACTCAGACGGCCATCGCCTCCGAGGACATGCCCAACACGCTGACAGAGGCTGAGAAGCTGCTGGCGCAGCACGAGGGCATCAAGAACGAGATCCGAAACTACGAGGAGGACTACCAGAAGATGCGGGACATGGGCGAGATGGTGACGCAGGGCCAGACAGATGCGCAGTACATGTTCCTGCGACAGAGGCTGCAGGCACTCGACACCGGCTGGAATGAGCTGCACAAGATGTGGGAGAACCGACAGAACCTGCTGTCCCAGTCCCACGCTTACCAGCTGTTCCTCAGGGACACCAAGCAAGCCGAGGCCTTCCTCAACAACCAGGTAAAGCCAAGATGCTGGCACACCCCTCTGGGAGCTTCACCCTGAATCACAGCATTCTCACACTATCGGTGTGCTGAAACATCTACAGCCCTGGAGTTTGAGTTTCTGGCTTTGTGTGAAAGAACATGGGGCCTGTGTGCAGCTGAAGTGAGGCAGGCGAGCAGCAGCCTCCACAGCTGGTTAACACAAACACACTCCAACATACTTCTTCATAATGAAGCCTTTATTTTTGCCACCAAATGACAAAAAATACCCAGACTTTCTCCAGCCCTGCCCTTTCCCTATGAGCAGGTCAGAGGCTGCCATCAGGTGGTAGAATGTGTTCATTACAACTTCAGATCTTCACCAACACAAATCCCAGACTTCAACTTTAACACAGACCTAATCTACAACAAACTTAATGCACCTCTGACTTCACTCCCCCAAACTGTGTCCAAGTTTCAGCTGTAAAATCCAGATATTAGTTCGAAAATGTTCTCTCCATCCCACCCGATGGAGCAGGTGGTTGAACTTTGACATTACAAGCAGCTGACAGTAATGTCTGCACTGTGTTTGTCCGGCAGGAATATGTCCTGGCTCACACTGAGATGCCCACCACTCTGGAGGGAGCTGAGGCTGCCATCAAGAAGCAGGAGGACTCCATGACCACTATGGACGCCAACGACGAGAAGATCAGCAGTGTGGTTGACACCGGCCGTCGCCTGGTGACCGACGGCAACATCAGCGCTGAGCGGATCCAGGAGAAGGTGGACTCCATCGACCAGAGGTACCAAGATACTGTGACTGTCCAGACAAAGTAAGATACAGGACGAGACACTCCAACTCACAAACACTCTGATAATTGTTCTGCAGACACAAGAAGAACCGAGCAGCCGCCAGTGACCTGCTGATGAGGCTGAAGGACAACAGAGACCTGCAGAAGTTCCTGCAGGACTGCCAGGAGGTAACAGCCTCACTGTGTTTGATGTGACAGGTGCTGCTGAGCGTGGTAAGGTACTGAGATCATTTGCTGTGTGTGTTCCTTCAGCTGACCCTGTGGGTCAATGAGAAGATGCTGACGGCTCAGGACATGTCGTACGACGAGGCCAGGAACCTCCACAGCAAGTGGCTCAAGCACCAGGCCTTCATGGCCGAGCTGCAGTCCAACAAGGAGTGGCTGGACAAGATCAACAAGGTAGATAGGCAAAATTATACTGTAGTTTGTCTCGTCCTAATTACTGTGATGGATAACTTAACATCTTTACTTGAGTTGCCAATAAAATTTAAGGCAATTGAATAAAGCTTTCCTGCAGTTTGGGTTTTTACTGATGGACTTGACTTATAGGGTTGGAGAGGATCACTTATCAAAACTGACCAGCTCGTGGGCTGTAGTGGCGTTTAACTGGCTAATACTAAGAAACAGGCATCTTGTAAGGATACTTTCATTAGCCAGTCAGAGCCAAGTATTAAACCCAGGTCCTGCCTTTCAGGACGGGCAGGCACTGATGGCAGAGAAGCCAGAGACTGAGGCCATGGTGAAAGAGAAGCTGGCGTCCCTGAAGACAATGTGGGAGGAGCTGGAGTCGACCACCCAGACGAAGGCCAAGTGTCTGTTTGACGCCAACAAGGCCGAGCTGTTCACACAGAGCTGCTCCGACCTGGACAAGTGGCTGGGCAGCCTAGAGGGCCAGCTGCAGTCCGACGACTACGGCAAAGACCTCACCTCCGTCAACATCCTGCTCAAGAAGCAGCAGGTGAGGAGCCGGGGCAGGTCTTCACATCTGTACAGGAAGTGTGTGTTAGTGTGACCATGAATGACGGCGTGGTAACTTTGTTGGTTGTGGAGTATAACTGAGCTGTATTTCACTGAAACCTTCGCTGTGACCTTCCTGTAAAGGCTTTCAGCTTGACGATGACGCTGATCAGCTAAATGAACAGCTGCATTGAGTGCTGTCAAGGTGCACTGGTTAGCAGGCTGCTGTCGCCCAGAGTTCAGCCTGTCAGGCAGGTCTTTCTTACGGCTGGCCTGAGGTGTTAAGACCCAGAGGTATTATTTAGCTCTACCTGGTGGCAGAATTACAGTCGAAATAGTGAGTGATCAGATTTGAATGAAGCCTGTAGTTTAAATTTTTAAAAAAGTTTTTTAGCTCAACACCGTGCAGGGTTGGTGTTGACTTCTGTGACTGAGTGGGTGAATTTCTGAGGCGAGGCTGTTCCCTGTGAGCAGACACACCAGCATTTACATAATTCATCCACGGGCGCGGCTGCGCACATTCAGTCTCGGCAGTGCACACACATGCACACCATCTCACACTGCACTCACACAGCAGTTATGTAATCTTACACTGGATGTGTTGTGAGTGAGCACGGGGAACGTGTGCGTGTCTGCCAGTAACAGTGAGTGGAGGGTGTGAAGGCGAATGATGCCTCTCATCATCTGTCTTCTCTTCAACTCTGTGCTGTTTAATTTCCTCTGTGTGTGTGTGTGTGTCTGTTGGAGACGGGAGAGAGAAACGCCTGGTTTTCATCCAGACTCTGTTGGTTTTACTCTTCTCTGGTGCCGCGCCATTTATTTTGGATCAGTTGTTTTTAGATACGCTCTGGCCTTTTTAGAGACAATAGCAGGGCTGAGAAGAAGAAGAGACGAGAGCTGTGAAGGACCTTTTATTTGTGTAAATGCTGTTTTCTTATTTTTTTGTAGGAACCAAACCTGTGACTCTTCTGTTAAGTTTGGTTTTTTTTTTTTATTTCTTTTCGTAATTTCATTTATTTTTAATTATTATTTTCTCTTTATGTGCCTCATTTTAATAGCTTTCTAGATGGTTCAAACCTTTTTTCATTTATTTTTCTTTTAGTATTTTGTTGTAGTCAGTAACTGGGAAAAGGTTAAAAGGACCATTTACAGCTTTTCCCATAGCTTTCTACAGGACTTCGTTGTCAGCGGTCAGACAGCTGACAGCCATGCAAACGGCATTTGCTCATGAATACTGAGAGATGTGGAAATTTCTAGTAAGTTGTAATTTATTCTGTCCGTTGTACTTCTTTAACATGCTGAACATGTGGCCTTTAACTCTTTTATTACCTTCTTTTTCATCGTTATTCCTGCACTTCTGTCCACAAAGTGAATCAGTCCATGTATTAATTCTCATCTTTCTGCAGATCCTGGAGAGCCAGGTGGAGGTGCGTCAGAAGGAGGTGGAGGAGCTGCAGAGCCAGTCGCAGGCCCTCAGCCAGGAGGGGAAAGGCTCCGAGGAGGTGGACGGGCAGAGGGTCAGCGTGGAGAGGAAGTTCCAGTTCCTCCAGGCGCCACTGAAGAAGAGACGAGACAACCTCATGGCCTCTCGTGAGATTCACCAGTTCAACAGGGATGTGGAGGATGAGATTGTAAGTAGAGAATCTGCCAGAGGAAAACGTGTACTTTTACTTTGTTTTGTGTATTTTATTGACCACAGCGTGATGAGAGACGAAGACGGCCGAATGAGAAACTGAAACACAGACGTAGATCTGTCCAACACAAGGGCAGAAAAAGGAGCCGAGTGTCAACAGGGGAAGTGCTGCAGTGCTAGTAGTGATGGGATTATAGTAACTGGGAGGAGTGTTACCAGTAGTCTCTGCACCGCTGACAGTAGTGCTCATAGAAACTGCAGCTGCTCTTACTGCACTGATAGTATTGTTAATGGTTACTGCAGTAGGTGGAAGTAGTGCTGCTTTGTCAGAAAACCACAGAGCACCGGGACTAAATGTAGTACTGTGTGTATGTGTGTGTGTGTGTGTCTCCAGCTGTGGGTGGAGGAGAGGATGCCTGTAGCTATGTCAACTGACCACGGACACAACCTGCAGACGGTGCAGCTGCTCATCAAGAAGAACCAGGTGCTCACACACATTTACCTGGTTGACAGTAACTTACTCGCTATGCATCCACCTGTTTTATTTCTTTCACACACAGCCACACGATCAGTAACAAATTATATGAACACGGTGGGAACCTCAGTCCTGACTCCTGCCTTTTCTAAATTGCGACAGGCTGTTAAATTTCAGATGAGAGGAGGGAAAACAGAGGAGGAGAAAAGCAGTTACCACATGTGCTAGGATGAACTTTGAAAGTAAGATCAGGTAGCATCAGTCCTCCTCATCACTCAAGCCTCTGTGACCTTTGACCCTCACAGACATTGCAGAAGGAGATCCAGGGCCATCAGCCTCGCTACGACGACATCTTTGAGCGCAGCCAGCACATCCTGCGGGAGGACAGCCCGACGGCCGAGCTGATTCGCCAGCGGCTCGCTGAGCTTCAGACTCTGTGGGAGCAGATCAGGAAGGAGACAGAGAAGCGTCACGCCCGGCTCAGCGAGGCCCACGAGGCCCAGCAGTACTACTTTGATGCCGCCGAGGCCGAGGCCTGGATGAGCGAGCAGGAGCTGTACATGATGTCAGAGGAGAAGGCCAAGGTAAGGGCAGAGGTCGGAGCTCAGGACGGTGATGGTACATAACATCGTGGCTTTCAGCTTCAACATAAAGAGAATGAGAAGTCAGTAAGAGAAGTGTGTGTGTCTCAGGACGAGCAGAGTTCAGTGGCCATGCTGAAGAAGCACCAGATCCTGGAGCAGGCGGTGGAGGATTACGCCGACACCGTCCACCAGCTGTCCAGCACCAGCCGGGGCCTGGTGGCTGCTGGACACTCTGACAGGTGAGAGCGGGGTCACAGGTCAGAGGTCAGTGACCCTTTACAGGTTTTATATTTTGTCTGTGGAGGAGGGAAGGAAGTGATGAAAGAAGCAAAGGAGCTAAGATCAAAGAAGTAAGGAAACAAAGAATGAAGGAGGTGTAGCAAAAGTAACAAAGGATGCTAGATGTTACATCCCATAATAGGCGTTTTCTGTCCTCATCTTCCTGCAGTGAGCGTATTGGGATGCGTCAGTCTCAGGTGGATAAGTTGTACGCCGGGCTAAAGGATTTGGCAGAGGAACGCCGGGGCAAGCTCGACGAGCGTTTCCGTCTTTTCCAGCTCAACCGAGAGGTGGACGACCTGGAGCAGTGGATCGCTGAGAGGGAGGTGGTGGCCGGATCCCACGAGCTGGGCCAGGACTACGAGCACGTCACCGTTAGTATAACTCCTGCTTCATGATGATCAACCTTTTCACAGGGCTTAGCGTCTGGAAGCCGAGAACGGCCGAACTCCCGATTCCATTTTTTATGTTGTCTTGAGATCAAGAGTTAATGATTATCATAATCTGGAGATAACAGAGCTTGTTTCTCATGAGAATGGGGCAGTGAGAAGCACAAAACCCCCCTTCTTCCTTCATGTTCTCTATTTAATGCCCCATACACTCGAAGATGCTGCACCCTTAATGCATGTCAACAAATTTTGCTAGTCTTGTTTTGAATGTTAGAAATTTCAAATGAAGCGTTCTTAACCGCGTGTGTACACTGGTCTGTGTGGACCCTTTTAAATGGTTATTTTTTTAATTGCCACCTTTTATTCCTCCCTCAGATGCTGCAGGAGCGTTTCAGAGAGTTCGCCCGGGACACTGGGAACATCGGCCAGGAGCGCGTGGACACCGTCAACCGCCTGGCAGATGAGCTGATCAACGCCGGCCACACCGATGCTGCCACCATCGCAGAGTGGAAGGACGGCCTGAATGAGGCCTGGGCTGACCTGCTGGAGCTCATTGACACCCGAACCCAGATCCTCGCCGCCTCCTTTGAGCTCCACAAGTTCTACCACGACGCCAAGGAGATCCTCAACCGCATCCTGGACAAACACAAGAAGCTTCCAGAGGAACTGGGCCGAGACCAGAACACAGTGGAGACCTTGCAGAGGATGCACACCACCTTCGAGCATGACATTCAGGCTCTGGGAACACAGGTACAGGCACTGGATCCAGACATGGAAAACCTGGAACATATTCAGCCCATGTTTGATTGGAGGAATTCTAATTTACAGGCACAAAAACTGAAAACACAGGACAGCAAAGGTCCTCTGTGTTTTTTGGCTAACAACCTAGCTGCACTGGTTTTCCATACGTATATGGGCACACAGGTTTTGGCCTTTTTTTCTGGTTAGGGGAGCATCAGTGATCCTGTGTGCAGCTCCATAAAGAATGAGACGGCTGGTCTGCACAGAGCCCTGACCTCAGCCGCTTCCAGCAACTTTAGGATGAACTGGAACTGCAGTTGCAAGCCAGTTCAACATCATTTAGAGCATAATGGGGTGAAAGGTCATTATTTTAAACTGAGAAAGCTCTCATCAGCCACCTGAACCTTTTCCTCTGTCTCCTGTTGTAGGTGCGGCAGCTGCAGGACGATGCAGTTCGCCTGCAGTCAGCTTACGCCGGAGATAAAGCAGACGACATTCAGAAGAGAGAAGGAGAGGTGAGCTTCAGTGAGACTCAAACCACATCAGGTCTGGGCTCAGTTTGCTTTGAATACAATCAGTAAATCTTTATGTGGAGTATTAGGATGTTTTGTATTTGGCACATACTGTATGTTTACCTTAATGGTATGAACACATAGTTTTTCACTATTTCTCTACATGCAAGCACTGTTTAAAAAAACTCCTTCACTTTTTGGTTGAATTTAAAATGAATTGGACCCAGCGTTGATGTTAGTGAAGTCACTGTAAAAGGCCCTTTGCCTCATGCATGCTGCGCCGCTGCTGCACCAACTCTGCAAGGTTCCTCTGCCCCTGAAGGGTCTGCTTCGGAAAAAGGCACTGCAGCTTCATAGCGGTTAGCCAGAGGTCAGATGGCGTGGCAGAGAAAATCATCTTAAATACGTAGAAGAAGAAGCTTGTGCTCTCCATCGAAATTAACACAAGCTGTTGGCCGCACAAATTCTGTGTTACACATTCAAGGATGCCAAACGTGTACTGTCAGAAATGAGTTTCGTCATTGTCATGCAATAAGTGTAGGTTACAAACGCCTGATAAAATCTCACAGGGCATGGTCAAAATACTGTAAACCCCATGACAACATGTCCTCACAGGTCATGTTAGCGTGGACCCTTGCCATCCAGGTCCTCTGGTTGAAACGTCCTCCAAATCTTCAAGGCTCAAAACCACACACTGTTTTATTTGAAGCCAGTCATTTGATATTAATATTGTGAAGAATGAGATTTTAAAACTGCGTAGAAGTGTTGTAGCAGAGTGGCAGTCTGAGCTGCACAGGTTTATATCTCAGACTTCAGCTTATCGCCTCTATCTGATGACACATTTTGTTCTAAGAGTGGTCCACGAGGTTTCACAGGCTTTTCTTGTATTTGAGAGCGAAGCTGGTTGTCCTGCAAGTTGAATTACTAAATGTGTGTTCAGACACCTTGCGAATTATAAAAACACACAACTGCAAAGTCGACTGTGAGATGCATTGTGCAGATTCCTTCCATCTGACGTATGAGAAAACATTTCAAAGTGAATGAAAACTCTGTTTTTATGACATTTACACACATTTGTCTGGAAACACCTCGAGGAGGATGTTTGTTTTCACGTCAGATCCTTGAGATTTGTCACGTTTTTAAACTCAACTCAAAGGAGAACTTGTCATTTAAGTTGCATTTGCTGAGGTGGCTAAAGGAACACCTTTCTCAGTCTGTTTTTGTCTTTTACAAATGTCTTCAGCCATCTCTGTCAATGCTGTTTTACATAAAGAAACCATCGACATCTGAAGCAGATGTTTGTAGGAATGTTGGTGAACAGTATACACCTGCAGTGTCACTCCAGTACCACCACGATGTTCCAGCCCTGCTCATCTCCTGATGATCAGAGCGGACTGTCGATGAAGTTAAGCACCGAGTGTTTCTAGCAGCCTTGTGTTTTGACCATTCCCTGTATGTCCGTTTCCCTGCATATCCCCTCTGTCCACCCAGAAGAGAAAGGCAGAGGTGAGACTTGTTTACCAAAAACATTGGCTTTGCATCAGTCTTCATTTTGGCTGCAGTTTCAGATTTTGTTTTGTTCTTTTTTCTTTCACTAAAATGTTAATTATTCTAGTGACATTTTAGTCATCTTCATGCAGTTTGGTTTTGGCCCATTGTTGGTCCCAGACCCGGTGATTTGCAAATACTGACAGGGTGGGTTTGTTGATCTGTTCCAGATGCTGTGTGGGTGGATTTTCAACACAAGCTCCATTTTCTAACTGACAGCTGATGCTGCATGAGTACCAATAAGCTGTAAACTCCACCCACCCAGTCCTCTGAGGAGGTTAAAACAAACGCTACTGGTAGTTTGCAAATACAGCTTGGGTCTGGTCAGTCGGTGAAGATGAAAGCTGAAAATGTATGTCTAGCTTTTGTCAAATCAATTTAAGGTTCCGTTTTAATATCTCATGGCTAAACACGGTGCAATTGAATGCTTTTGTTCGCATTTGCTTTAATGTAGCTGCTTGTGAGCTGCTTGCAGTCCGCTGCAGCCGTGTGTCCGTCTACGTTGTGAGCAGTGTCTCAGTGTCGGATGTGGCTGAAAATGTTACTGGAGGGAGTGAAAAGAATCCACTGGTTCCCAGTCTGAAGGGGATGTTTTTTAGATGCAGTCAGCAAGGCCTGCCAACAAATGTACACATTGATTTTGCCAACGTTTGCAGCTAAAACACACAGCAGACAGAAAAGCTGTCAGCTTTGCTTTGTGAAGCTCAGACGCTGACTTGCTGCTTATGGCTGGAAAATGCGGTCGATACTTTTTGTGCTGTGTTGCAGCGATGCAGCTTGTCCTGCCAGTGTAGAAAATCTAGATAGTGAGCGGAAAGACCCACATGGTGATGATTTTGGAAAGGGCCGAGCCGCTGAGACACAACCACTAGCTGCTGAAAACATGGAGACAGAGGTTGGCAGTAAGGATAAAGTCCTCCACCCCGGTTCATTTAATTATGACTTCACCACACTGGTGAAAAAATCCTTTAAAGATTCCGTATCGCCACAACATTGATCTGTAACATTACGCACAGGAAGAGCTTCCTCGGTATGAATGGAATGTGAAAATCTCACAGCATATGTCGCCAGGTCGCCCTCCCCCCGCGTGGTCGGTGCTTCTGCCTTTGCAGTTTGCACATAGGAATGTTTTTATTTGCTCTGGTTTATCTCCCCGGGCTGTTTCGCTCCCTTACACTGCTCTGGTGGAGGACCAGTGAAGACACAGCAGTGGTAATGTTGTAATGAATTGCGCTGACCGTTAAGCAGTGTGTGACCGCTGCCCGTCAGACCCCCTGAGTCAACCTGCTGCCTTTCCTCAGCTGCTCCTCCAAGATGCAGCCACCTACACCTTCTTTATCACCCAGCCTGTCTTTATGGTTGAGTAAATGTATTTATCAGGACAAACCAGGAGCTCAGCCTCATCTCTGAACCCTGCTCTGTCGTCTCCTCCTCCTCAGGTCCTGGAGGCTTGGAAGAACCTGCTGGAGGCAGTGGAGGGCCGGCGGGTGAAGCTGGTCGACACTGGAGACAAGTTTCGCTTCTTCAGCATGGTGCGCGACCTGATGCTGTGGATGGAGGATGTCATCCGCCTGATCGAGGCCCAGGAGAAGCCCAGGTAAGGACGCTGTAGTTTCACTGTTTGTCTTTGCTTTTCTCTCCTTGACTCTGATGAGTGGATGTTTAGGACGAGTCAGAGAATTCCCTCTGCTAATGCTGCAGCAGGAAACAACAAAATAAACGAGCTTGACATGATTCCCTTTTTTTGCATTACAATAACAGACGAAGAAGAGGGAGGTGCTGGTAAATTGTAATGGGAGAAAGGAGGCTGAGAATCAAATAGGAGACATGGGGAGGATCTTAGGAGCTGAGGTTAGAAATAGTACCAGTGAATTTTAACCTCCACCACCGATTTCAGGCGACAGTTGGCCGTTTACTGAGCCACTACAAATCCCATAAGTCCCCTCTGGATTTCCTCAGCTGTAAGTGAAATCCTGTTTGGATAAAGGTTTGTTGTTAAGCATAAAAAACACTTTAGACTTTGACTGAATCAGTCAAAAACAATATAAACCTGTGTCACATGTGCTACGTTTGGTGTTTTGTGTTTCAGATCTGTATCATGAACATTTTCCTATTTAATTTTCCAATAAACGTGGTTAATAGCAGTCCATGGAGACTTGTCTTGTCCAAAGACAACTTTTTAAAATATTATACAATAATCACATTATCAATAGTGATCAGTGAACTAGTCTTTAATATCGATGGTGGCCCATTAGAAGCTCCTGCAGTCCTGTTGATTGAGACCAAAGGTGTATCAGAATCTAGCACCAGGTGTGTTTCACATTAAACAAGCTGAGGAGAGTTTGGTTTTCTTATTGCACGTTGTTGAAGTGGTTTGTGTGCGTTTGCTTGTTGCTGTATTTCAGGGACGTGTCGTCAGTGGAGTTGCTGATGAACAACCACCAGGGCATCAAGGCGGAGATCGACGCCCGCAACGACAGCTTCACCACCTGCATCGAGCTGGGCAAAGCCCTGCTGGCCAGGAAGCACTACGCCTCAGAGGAGGTGGAGAACGAGACACGTTTTCAGTAGCAGTTTCTGTTGAAGCTCCTAAAAGCTACGCAGATGTTCTCTGAATAGTGTTTTTATATTTCTACTATTCAGGCCAGGCGTAGTTTCATCCATGCAGATTTATAATCCACATTCCTCATGCTAAATTAAACACCACACGTCCCATATCGAGTGCTTTACTAAACGTTCTCTAATTTGTAAAAAAAAAAAAAAATTCAAGTTCAGTCAAAAATGAACAGCATTTGATCTTGGATTTAATTGTCTTAGTTTTAGATCCAGATTAGATTTAAAAGTCTCAGATGTCTGTTCCATCGCATCACTTTCTGTTTTGTAGCCTTTGGCACAGTTTTCTGTTGCTGTCTTCCACCTGTTACTGGTAATGTCGCAAACCAGTTCATAAACATGAACAAACATCATCAGCACAAACTAATCCAGCCGAGCAGCAGCAGTGGAAGCTGTGCACCCAGTGATGTTTAAGCAACGTGAAGGGGTGGAAGTCTCATTTTAAACACAAGCTTCCAAAGTAAAATGTTAACTTAAAGGGTCTAGACTGAATTAAGAAGATGCTCGTGATGTTTTGTGCAGCAGAAATGAGCTTGTGTGACTCCGTCTCTAAACCACACAAACACATTTACACTTTGGTTCTTTTTTTAACCTTAAAATATTTTGTCCCATGCAGATTAAAGAAAAGTTATTACAGTTGACGGACAAGAGGAAAGACATGATTGACAAGTGGGAGGACAGATGGGAGTGGCTTAGACTGGGTATGATGTTTCTTCTGTTCAAACATTTTCTCTGTTTGTGTTTAGTCAAGGCTCATATTCATTTGGCTGAATTCACCCAGTCTAACAAGTAAATCCGTGTTCAGTCCTGGAGGTGCACCAGTTCTCCCGGGATGCAGGCGTGGCCGAGGCGTGGCTGCTGGGTCAGGAGCCCTACCTGTCCAGCAGGGAGATCGGCCAGAGTGTGGACGAGGTGGAGAAGCTCATCAAACGCCACGAGGCCTTCGAGAAGTCGGCCGCCACCTGGGAGGAACGCTTTGCGGCACTGGAGAGGTTGACCACGGTGAGACACACGAGCATGCTCACACGCTGGTGGTGGGATCAAGGTTTAAGCTTAAGATTTAACAATGTGTTTGTCCAGATGGAGTTGCTGGAAGTGAGAAGAAGGCAAGAGGAGGAAGAGAGGAAGAGACTACCCCCACCCACTGAGGCTCAGTCTGGCGATGCTGCTGCACAGCACAGGTGAGAGTGTGTGTTTGTGGATGTCGTATTTATCCAGACTTGCAGTGATTAGACTTCAGTGTGTTACGGATGTGCTGTGGATCTAACGTGCTATCAAAAAAACACTTACACCTTTTAGGCGGAAACTGTCAGTGAGTATTTATTCATGACTTGGGAAACAGCAGTGAATAAAACCATCTCCCCTCGAGCTCAGCTGCACTTTGAACAACTGCATTAAGTATCATGACAAGAAAGTCCCACGGTAACAAACTGAGGAGTCATTTTAAATAAATGTGTCTGGGTCGACCTCTGTACATTTGCCATTTGGCTACAGCTGTAGGGTCACATAGCTCTGACGTATGTGTGGCCAAAACAGGTACAGATGTACAAACATGCAGTTGTGAGGAGAGTCGGACGACCTGACAAGTCAGGACTTCACACAGTGTGCGTGTCGCTCCGTGTATGAGGGAAAATGCAAGTGTGTGAATGTGGAAACTCTTTGGACACACCTGTGTGGCCCAACACGGCTCCAACAGAGTGAGACGTCTTCACTTCTTAATGAATAATTAATGAATCTAATCTGATCAAGTTGGTAGGGCTGGTATTTAGGTGATGGAGGAGGAGGCTACGCGTGTTATTTCAACATGCGGGTGAGGACACATCCCCGGTGAAGTGCATCACTGTGTCTAACTGTGTGTGTACATTGTGTGTTTGCAGGGCAGGTGAGCCGGTGTCTCAGAACGGGCTGCCGTCCGACCAGGAGTCTCCCAGGGTTAGTTACCGCTCGCCTGCCTACCAGAAATACAGCAGCACCCTGCAGAGCCGCAGGACCACCCCCGCACCCTGACGCACACACCCACACACACTTAAATGCAGCCACACTCACTTTAAAGAAACGCGACACATCGTGAAAATCACATGTGAACTGATCCTTGACCTCATACCAAATCTCACTGACTGCTGTTGACCAGGTGTGTTGTATTCCTCCTCACGCACACTCCTGGGATCTGCACATGAACTGATTCAACACTTGTCTTGCATTTATTGTTTGCTCTTCTTCCTTGTTGATTAATAGCTTCTTATTTTATAAGTGTAACAAGCGACATGCACAATTTAATCTTTAACTGATAATGACAACCTCACTGTTTAAGGATCATAACTAGAGTTTCATCTTTTTAATCATCTAAATCCCAGGAAGTCAGGGAGCTGAGGGGTAGTTTTAGTTTGGAAACACTCAGATGCTACGAGTAGCTAACAGCAGCCTCCTCGTGGCCTCGCTACTCTGTAGTTATCACCAACATAGCAGCAATAATTTTATGAGAAGATTTTAACAACTGAACATGTTGCAGCTTGAAGCTGTACTGCATCATGGGTTTACCTGCAGGCCTCCATGTCCACCTGGATCCTCCTTTCCTCTACCTAACAGTAGGAACCAGTGGCTGTTTGTCGAAGCAGAGAGGAACGGCGTCTGTGTCTCTGACCCAGCCTAGGTGGACACAGTGGGTGAAGAAGCATAATGGGACAGTGAAGTTTAAAATCACAACACAAAACTACTGAGGCAGATTTTCCATAAGAGTAGCTTAGTTAACCAGCTGTATTTTGGAAAAGAAAATCTCACATGCACTTCAATATAGTAAGAACTTTTGCAGCATTAGAGGAACTGCAGCTTTAATTAGTGCTTTAAAAACTGGTTTCAAAACTTGTGTGTGTAACAGTGCTGTTTTTATTCATTTGTATTGGAGGGCATCTGCTAGTGGTCCATGTAGTGTCATGTAGCTGTAACATTTTGTTGAAATACCTCATATTGTTTGAAGCTCATGTCTGTGAGAACGAGGAGTAAAAGACATCGCCACTGAAAAGAAGATCCAGATGGACCCGCTGGTTCTGCTTCATAAAACTGAAGGAGAAACTTCCTACAGAAAGAAGTACAAGTTGAGTCAGGAAGTACTAGAAAGTAGCTTTAGTAGGTCATGCCTTTGATCCTTCTATGATCATTTGACAGCTTGTCTTTTAATCAAATTCGGCCTCATGCGTTTTCTCTTATAAATCTATACGTTTTGTTTCTTAACCTTGCGTGACATTCCTTTTTGTGCTAAATCTGTTCAGTGAAAGAAATTAGACTAAAAACAAGAACATTAGGGTTTTTAGTTTGAGCTCAGTGCCCTTCTGACCAAACAGAAGCATTGAAATGAATTCATGTTAATGGTTTAAATATGTAAATGTTTCCATTGTGTGAAAGAGAAAGGATATCCCCATTGAGTGAGTGTGACTGTACGAACAATCTCTCACACACACACGCACACACACACTATCCACTCCTCTCCTCATTTCTCGTTTCCTTCCTTTCTGTCTCTCTCAGCTCGACTCTCCTGTCGTCCTCTCCCCTCAGCTGTTAATGTTTCTGCTCATTTACGTCGTCATTTACAAACTCGCTCTGTGGAACGTGAACCCCTGAGAAGACGACCAGCAACGTGTCGGTGCACGGTCCCTGCTCAGCTCTACAGCCACGAACTGTGGATAGATGATATTTATTCCTTAATGTAAACTGTGACGTCATCAGCGTAAAAAGAACTCCAACTACAGTTGGAGACACTATTCGTTCATTAATCAGTAAGATGATAAAACATACATCCTCCTAAACAGATTCATTTTCAGATATGTCTTAGTCTTACTGTCTTAAAATAAAGGATTTGGAGTTTGACAGTTTGTTGTTAGCTTGTATATTTAATGTATGATGAGAAAACGTGAAGAATATTATTTTAGGAAGGAAAAGAATATTCCACATGTCCAGGAAGAATTGAAATGGCTTTCAACAGTGTGAAAATGATTAGTTTACTGTAATAACACTTTAAAAATCTACCTGCCCCAGGTGTGTCTGCATCCCATCGCCCACGTTCACCATCTTGGTATTGTTCCTCACGGAGTGCACTACATGTCACTGTCTTCATCTCACATACGCCTCCGTTTAATTAAAGCATGATTTATATAGAGCGAAACAGCTCTGTTGAAAATCTACTTTAAATTATGAAAAAAAAAATTGGAACCACTGAGTGAGAAGTTTCCCGCTATAAGATATGAACTTGTACGAGTTTAAAGCCGCTCGGCGCGCTCTGCACGTCACTCGCACTTTGCATCTTCGGTAGGTTTTAGTGTTTGTCCTGAACTGTCTCGACAACTCCCTTCAAACAGTGGTGCACACAGTCACCGTGCACGCTGGCCATGTGCACGTGAATGAATCCATCTCCACAGTCATTCCACAGTTTCATGTAAAACTGTTTCCCTGTGCGTTTCGAACCGGTGTGTGTCTGTGTGTGTGTGCGCTCTGTCCTTCAGGTTCACACCCCCCACCTCCCTCATTGTGTTTCTTCAGTTATGATCTTGTGTCACTGTTTTGTATCACCATTGTTATCAGTTGCCTGTTCTGTCCATGGTTTCTGTTGCTCATCCATGCTGCTCCCTCACTAACACACATTCCCCAATAAACCCTGTCAGAACCAAGCAGCGCTCTCAGAGCCGTTCTGGTGTGTCTGTCCATGTGTCACACATGTAGAGCTCTGACTTTTCATGTACACTGTTGGTTGTCATGTGTTTTTGTTGCACGCTGTCACCACCATGAGTTTTCTGTTGGTGTTTTATCTCTTCAGCTCATGTTCTTCACCCATCTTCATCCTGGGGCTTTGATTTACTACAGGACATTTACATTTTTGCTGATTATGATGGTAGAGTAGTTCATTGACATTTATTGAAATCATCTAATTGAGGCATAAAGTAGGTCACAATATCTTTGCTCTGGTAGTGGAGTCAGTGTGTTTTATGTTTTTAACTGAGAGGAGACTGAACATCTGTCTGCTGCTACTTCCTGCCACAGTGGCTGGTTTAAAATCTTGACCTTAATAAATACTTGTAAACATATTTGCTACATATAAGAAGGCAGAGATGTAAAGCTGGGTGCACCCTGTGCACCTTTATGAACCTTGTACATGGTATTAATCTCTTTCTCCACAAAGAAACCTTAGCTTAGATTAGTCGTCAGGGAAGGGATAGTAAACGTTTCCAGTACAAGCTCCCAGGGTTGGTCTAACCCCCATCAAGCCCTAAATAAAAATAAAAGCCCCCAGGTCTCGGAGCCCTTCTGTTAACCCTCTCAGGACTGGTCCGGCTTCTGAACTGTTCCCAAAAAGAGCATCCACCACTGGTCCAGCACTGGAAGAGAACAGTCACGGGGTAATAAGCATCTGGCTGGAGTGGGTGTGGTGTGGACAAAAAAATCTGTTGTGGTACTAGGCCAATCGCGTGCTCCCTTCACCAATAATGATGCCCAGTAATGATTTCCAAGCAATTTTTGATAATTGTTTGAGAATTGTTTGTGTTTTTGTTCTTCCCTTCCTGCTAGCTTCTCCCTCTCCTCATCTCTCTTCACACTGTCCGCCATCTTGTGTGCAATGAAGTGCTGGTGTGATTTATTGTGCATGTCCTAAAAACCTGTAACGGGTGCAGATGTTTGTGTAATCAGTGCTGCAATCCAGCTGAGCTCACGCAATTAAACAAAAGAGCCTAGAAATGCATTAAGAAGCCTGATGTCGCCGAGGTCAGTGATGGATCAAAGTCAGGGTTAGTTCAGCTTCTAAGATGAAGTTGTTAAGTTCAGGCTCGACTTCATCAAATTCAACCAGACTTTTGACTTTGACCTTCTGTTTCTTCAGCTTGAATTAAATGTTAGACTGGAATTCAAAGCGGGCGTGCATCACACAACTGCCAAGTTCTCACGGTGCCTCACGTCATGTTTGTGTGCAGGACTAGTCGACACATCCGCTCCCTGGCACATACACCCTGCAGCAAGTGGTGCTTACATGCTATTAAAACACAGTGAAGAACTCATTGCAAAGCTTTTTAGAGCTGCAAAAATAAGACGATCAACAGGACGTTAATCTGCAACTATTTTGTTAAACAAAAACTCTAAACACTGAGAAATTCCAGCTGAACAGCTGTAACAATTTTTGCTTGCCTTTACCATATATGGCAGTAAATAAAATGTCTTGATGCCTTTTGAACTGTTAGTCGAACAAAACAAGCAGTTTAAAGACGTCGCTGTGACGCCATCTTCTTACATTTAACGCAGTGACGTAATTGGCAGATTGACCAGTAAAGAAAAATGTCATTTGTATCAACTCTAAGGATGTTTTTGGCCTCAAAACTGAAGCCCAGTACACCCCCGACTATGGCAGCGGTTGACCTAAGGCCCTGGTCCCTGTGTCAGTAGGGATTCAGTATGCAGCATTAGGCCACTGGTTAGTGGGAAAATAATGATGCAGCCACGTGTCGTCTGGAGGCGACTAGGCACGGTCAGGTGCGAGGAGGTGTAGGCTCCCAGCAGTGATTTCTCTGTAGTTTAACTTGACCGTCGGCTACAGGACTTGGTTTCCTCAGCTGATCTTGGACTTGAGTTTCAAGACTGACTGACTTGGTCTCACATACACTTTTTAGTTTGGTTTGTGTCAGTTGAATTTGGTTGCATTGTTGTGTTGAGCTTTGTTTGGTTCAGTTGTTGTATCGCTTCCTCTCTTAGTTTGGTTTTTTCTTTAACAGTTTTAAATCAAGTGCCAACAGAATATTAGGTGTATATTATGGCCCTTGGCCTCAGACAGAGATCGCACGCAGCAAGTTTCAACAACATGAAATGTGACTTTGCATGGTCTCTGTCTGAATCCAAACAGACTAATGCTGCAGATTGAACTTGGTGGCCTCTCTGCTCTGCATGCTTCTGCTCTAACTGATTTACAGCTTCTGTGTGTCTGAGAGAGAGCGAGCATCTGTCCGCTGTCCTCTCTGACTTTGCTCGCTCTGCTTTTTCCAGGATAATGTTGAGGGCCAGGTGAATGGGGAGCCCAGCCCCACAGGGTCGCCTGGGGCGTCTCGCAAGGGCAAGGCCAGCCAGGCGGCGACGCTGCCGGCCAGAACCGGGCAGGACGCTCCCACGTCCCAGCTGGAGGGCTTCCTGCACCGCAAGCATGAGTGGGAGGGCCACAACAAAAAGGCTTCAAACAGGTGGGAAGGTTTGTCGGCCGTCAGAGGAAGTGTCTCTGCTGCTGTAGGCGAGAGATGAAACGCACAATTCTTCTTTTTCATAACTTTGAAACAGACATCAGTTTCTCCCTGTCGTGAAGGAAATGACACAAATGAAAACATGGATTCATGTGTGTTAGTTGACATGGAAACAGTACAAGGTGTCCCTAAAAGGTCCTGTTTCAAATTTTAAGGCCTTTGATTGTTTAAAAATCTTAATTTTAAATATCACTGACCCACAGAACGTCTGTATATACTGTATGCAGACGTTTGACCAAGTCAGTTCTTTTTTCTCTTTTTATTGTATTTTCTTATTTGGTTGAATCATTTTTGTTCCACTTGGTGTTTGCACAGTTTTTCCATATTAAGCTAAAGATGAAGGCCGTTGTCATCTTTGTGTCATTTCTTCTGGTCAAATTAAGGATTTTGAAGCAGTTGGTGAATGTTTTGCTTCAGAGAGTGAAGAGCTTTGTTTCAGTAGAACACAGTTGATTATACTAAACATTGTTTTATCCAGGATTCAGTACTTTTCACGACAGTTTAAAGGAATTTGGTTGGGTCACACAACAAACAGAACAACACTGGGACATCAACCAGGAGAGATAAAACTTAGAAATCACCATATTTCAACAGTTCCCGTGGGTATCGCTGCTGTGTCAAGACCCTTAAAACAGTACATCTGTGCATGAGGAGTTAGGGCACAAAATTAAGAGGTTAAACAGATTTTTGATAATTGTATGTATGACTCTACATATGCTCATTAAATGGGGAGGCATACAAATACTGGAATATTAAAGCGATGACTGGTGTAAAACACATCGGCCAGCCCTAATGCGAGTGAGGCTGTCGGATGTTTTTATGAGGTCTAAAAAACATTTGATACCCTGCAATAGTTCTTTAAAACCCCTTATTTTAACAGAAGTAATAAAGACTTAACGCCTCATTGACTGTGTAGAATTAAGCCAAGTGATGGATTTTAAATCCCGTTAGCTGTGAAGTAACTGATCAGTGTCTGTGTGCATGCAGGTCGTGGCACAACGTGTACTGTGTGATCAACCAGCAGGAGATGGGATTCTACAAGGACCAGAAGAGCGCCAGTCAGGGTATCCCCTACCACAGCGAGATTCCCATTAGCCTGAAGGACGCCATCTGCGAGGTGGCACTGGACTACAAGAAGAAGAAACACGTCTTCAAGCTGAAGTGAGTCTCATCATGACCCCGGGAGCTGTCAGGCTTAGTTTGTCACTGATGACAACCAGCTCTACTAGCATTACCACTCATTCTAATTATTGCTAGTACAGTTTACTGCGTGTGGTGAATTACTGCAGTTTTAATGAGAATCACTCGTTCTCAGAGCCAGAACTCGGTCTCACCCACACACACAGACATAAAACACACTCAGAATAAACCTCCACACATCTGAGAATCCTAGACAAAGGATGCTGTACTTCACCTGCAGAACCTGCCAGAGTACATTCACATTATTAAGTTGCCTTCAGTAGCACAGTGATCCGGTGTTAGTTGTCTGTACATCCATGGCTACGCTGCAAACGGCAGCAGATCACAGCTCCGTCGGCTGCTTCTAATGGCACCAGGATGCTGAACTAGATGAAGGCCGAACCTCTAACATCACGTGTGATCCGCTGTTGACGGGAAGCTCAAACTGGTCATTTAAATGAGGGATCCTCTGTCCAGGTATTCACTCTGACCATTAAATATGTCCTCTGACTTCCCCAGGGTCACTGACGGGAATGAGTATCTGTTCCAAGCCAAAGATGACGTAAGTCTGAAAGAAAATTAAATCCCTACATCATTTCTTTTTCTCTGTGGCACATTTGTCCACTGCAGGTTTACTTCATGTCTCTGTCCTCTAGTTTTATTTCAGCAATAACTATGTTTGTATTGTTACTGTATTTTAACCATTTTTGCAAAATGGTGTATAATAATTACATTGCTTTATTTTTATTTTATTTTTCATTTATTTTACTTATATTTTTGCTTAAAGTTTTGTTTGAAAATTATTTATTTCACTTCTGCCTTTATATTTTTAATTTTTTTACTGGTAATTCATATGTTTATTAATTATATATCCAGTAACAACAGATGGTTTCTAACACAACCCGATTGTAAGAGGATCCATTTATTAACCTGTTAGTTGTAAAAATATTTCATCATAAAAGAATTGTTGACAAATTGATGCATTTTAATAATAATAATGTAATAATTCTAATAATAATGTAAAGGTGTCCTTATAGTGCATCATAAACCTTTTATGTTTGCATCCTCGTGCTCAGAAATGCTGAATATAGGCACCTAAAGTAAAGCTGGTCCCCTCCTTCCCTCCCTCCTTTTCTTCATCCTCCAGGAGGAGATGAACACATGGATCTCGGCCATCTCTGCAGCCGTGTCGGGCGACAAGTCTGAGATCACGCCCGGCAGCCATAGCACGCCCGCTCCTGCCACACGTGCTCAGACGCTCCCGGCCTCCGTGGCCCCAGCAAGAGCCCAGGGCAAACGAGAGAAAGACAAGGAGAAACGCTTCAGTCTGTTCAGCAAGAAGAAATAGATGTTCCTCCCCCTCCTCCTCCTCCTCCTTCCTTTTTCTCCTCCTTCCCTCTGGTGCTGTTTGGGTTCATTCATCATTATCGATCCATCCTTGTCAGTTGATGAGATTTTTGATTCGGACTCGGCTTATAGCAACCGCTTGCTGTCATAACTCGTCAAAGCTATTACAACAACTGTCCTAAAGATAACACATTCACTGGCTAATTAAATATAAATGTAATAAATCTGTAAATGTCATAAATTGCCTGATGAGGTAATAAGTCAAACTTAGAACACTGTAGTTTGGTGAGGAAAAACAAACTTCATCACCAAACAATCTGGGCACGTCTCCAGCAGTTGCAGCATTAGCAGCTGCTGTCAGATAAAGTCTCAAACAGCCTCTCCTCCCCTTCTTCTTTCCTCCTCTTCCTCTCAAAGTGTGACTCCAGCATGCAAGCTCCGAGCCAAAACTCTCCACTCTGTGCCTATCAACCACCCGGTCTGGCTCAGAGCTGCAGTACAGCTACCTGTACAACACACAACCGGTGTCCTCTCTTCAGTTTTTGTAAGATAAGCAGCAGGAAAACCGAATAATAGCAGGTCTAAATGAAGGAGCAAAATGAAGAGTGGTGTCTGCAACGCTTCAGGCAGCTGTCATAGAAATAGAAGCCAGAGTTTGCTGCTGAACAACAGCACGATGCAGAGGAGTTCCCACAATATTCCAGTTTATTATTCTGATCGCTATGAGTTGTGTTTTCTATTTCCTGCCGTTTGCTTTTTCTTCTCTGTTTCCTTCTCTCCCTCCCGGCTTTTCGTCGGCTACTGCCTTTTGTGGGTCGTGTTTACGCTCCTCAGCCGTCTCAGTTCCTTGTTTGACTTTTGAGAAGTTGTAGGTAGTTCCTGTTAGGGCCCCTCCTCAGTTTTTGCGAGGCCTTGTCTTTGCAAGATGACGTGTATCCCTCTGTAGTGGGGAGACTGAGACCACAGCGGGGTAAACCTCTGAAATTACACCTCTCACCAGTTTGTAGTTTGACCTGAATCAAGTAGAAACGCACAGAATCGTGGTCACTGAAACGCCTCAGAAATACAACTTTAAAAAGACGACATGTTTGGGAATCTAAGCAGCATTTTGTGCACTGAAGAACTATACATTTCCATTGGTGAATTAACTGTAATAAACCAGTGTAAGATAAATAATCACCACTGGCTTCTGTTAAATGTAGGTGCTGTCTAATTCCTGCAGCACCACAGGAAGTGGCTGTAATTTGGAGCGTTACCCTGCAGTGCTTTGAACTGTATGTATAACTTGTGTATAACAAACTGTTAAGAAATAAACCTGTGTTTAATTTTACCTACTATTACTACTAAGACCTACCAAACATACAGTAATAAGCTTCATCTGACTAACTTTCTTCAGCTGAAAACCTAACGATATGTAACCAATCTGAATGAAGGCTCAGTGGGGGGGTAGGTGAGACCAATAAGAATGTTTGTTAGCTCAAACTTTAAAGCCCTCACTAAGGTTTATTTTCTACTCTTTATGTTTTAGAATCATTTACTTATGCCCATAGTTATTTGCAGTATGTTTTGGTTTCCTCCACTATGTATTTTCTGCTCCACCATTAAGCTGTTTAAGGTTTATTTAGTCTGACAAGTACGGAGACGTAGATGTACTTTAAAACAAACTTACTTTAAGCCTTGGTGTTAAGTGGACGAGTTGGTTCTATAAAGCGATTACTGGAAGTGAGTAAAGTTGCAGAATAATGGCTGCTTGCTTGTTGGCTTCAGCGCTCCATTTTTAAGATTTGACTGCCAATGACCTCGCAGTGAAGTCCGCTGAGTTACTGGGTGCTTTTCCTGCAGAAGTTCTTTAATGACAAAGTTCGCACAAGACTTGTGCGCTGTCATCGAGGTTTGAGAGTGTGCAGAGACATTTGTAAGACTGTTTTTCAGAGCAGGCTTTTGGTTTCTATAAATGTTGTGCGACTACATTATGTGAACAGCCTTCCCATCTCGTGTTCTCTGATTTGCCGCTTTAGTTTCAGCAGGTTGTTTACCTTGCGTGCCAAAACCTGAACCACTTTAATTTTTCCATGTGACGCAACAGCACCTCCTAATACCAAAATGTCTGAGCTGGTTTGAGCGATTTAGGCGCTAATGTGCATCACAGGTCAACCGGTTCTCTTTTGATTTGGCCAACATTTAAACATAAGTTTGTTGCTCGACTAATATCAGATTTTCACCAGGTCTGATAACTGGCCTAGTTAGGCGGTCTAGTTTTTGCACGAATGACCAGGCTTTATACTCAGGGAGTAAACCTCTGAGCCCGAAGTCGACCTGGTCTGTGGAAGCATGTTTCCACACTAAATAAAATCCAAACACGCAGAAGAGCTGTCAGAAAAGGTGAGCTTAGCATTCAGCCTGAATGTGCAACAAACCCCCCCAAAAATGCATGCTTTTTTTGTGCACTTGTAATTTTGTCATTAATTAACTTCTATATCCACCAGAAATGGTGGAAGCAAAATGGGGGGGTAGACACTTCAAGTATCTGGAAAACTCTTCACTTGATGATTTGCCCCAACATGGTTCTTGCTTATATTTGCTTTTTGCCACCTCCACTGGCGATTTGATAAATAGTGTGCATTCCTCTGTCACTGTAACCATAGTAACGAGCTATTTCTTCATGCTGCACAACCAATGATGCCACAGTAGGCTGGGTTGTTAGGTGAAGTAGTCAGTGTGATGTGGACCGGGGGTCACTGCTAGTTGGATCTGCACCTGTAGACTTCTCCCCATCTCTGTTACATATGTGCAAAAAGCCATTAAAACGCTTTTAAAATGAACCAGACTCCGTTTGTTTTCTCCTATGTGTGAAGGTCATAGGTCGCAGTCAGACCTCAGTCACTGCCAGATACAGTATGTGAAGTTCAGACACGGCTCTCATTCAGTGGTTTTCCTTTGTTTCTGTGGGTGGATGGATTCTAAGGCCTAGCTTCACACTCAGTACCTCTTTGTTTGACATCCTGGGAACATCAGAAAAAAAACTGGACGTCCACAAGTCAGGTTCAAGTTTTTACTTTGATTTTGTGAACTTGTAGCTGCTGCTAGACTGAAATGGGTTTAGTTTGATCTGAGTGGACGTTTAACTCCCAGACTGAGACGACCAGTGTTGCACAGTCTGGGAGTTCATTTCAAACTTTGTGTGTGTGTGTGTGTGTGTGTGTGTGTGTGGCAATGCAGGGCGCAGGGATTTGTCAGGATTACAAACTTCATGCCACACCAACCCATTGTTTACTGTTTAAACTGGACACTGTCTCTGAATGTATGTTATTTATAGCGGCATAGCTTTTTTTTTTTTACTTGGCACATGTAGACAAATGGGTTCGTTTAAATGGCTTTTTACCAGTGACAGTGTTCAGGTGTGTGTAGTAATGATGAGTCTGCAGAGAATGATCGTCTGAATCTGCAGTTTTATGGAGATTTTACTGAGTTTCAGCTCATTGTTGAGTGTCCAGACCCCACAGCTTTACTGTTTCAGTTCACTCTGTTGTAGCTCATCAACAACTTCCCGAAGCCTGGCCTGACACAAAGTTCTTCATCCTTCAGACTCGTATTTGATTGAACACCTCTGGCAGAAGCCTGTAAGATCATCTGACCTGCACTTTGCTGTTCAGTTCTTCTTGTGTTTTGTCCACAAGGTGGCACAAGATGACCAGAAGCTGACTCTTGTGTTTTGTATGTAAATCTTCTTGGTACTTTATTTCCTTATAAAATGTAATGTTTCTTTTTGATAAAGATTCCAGTTTGTCCAACTCAGGTGTCTCTCCTCTCGTCTCTCTCCATCCATCTATACGCCACCACTACCTGTCACTGTGTCCTCCCTCCCTCTATTGTTTGTTGTGTCCTGTTGCTTTTCTTTTCTTCTTCTCTCTCTCCTCTATCCACTCACCCCAACCGGTCAAGGCAGAAGGCCGCCCGCCGAGAGCCGGGGTTTGTCTGAGGTTTCTTCCATTAAAGGGAGTTTTTTCCTCCCCGCTGTCGCTGAGTGCAGTTCAGGAGGATTTGCTGGGTTTTTCCTGTAACTGTGAGGTCTGGACATGACTATGGAAAGTACCCTGAGATGATTGTTGTTGTGAAACCAAATGAATTTAATTGAACATTGAGCTAAAATAGTTTGTTGTGCTAGTATTTCTAAGGTCGGATATGAAGCTCTGACCTTGTGTTTGTTCAGACTTTTCTCTGTCAGTTGAAGATGATACAGATGTGTGAAAAATAACGCCTGCACGCTTTAAATTCTGGAACATTCCCTCTGTGTTCTGGCAGCAGCACAGCGGGACCATTTTTGTTGTTACTTTGGCAGCTGTTTCCATCCACAGACGTGTGTGTGTGTGTGTGTGTGTGTGTATACACCATTAAGCACAGAGGTAAACACAGATTTTACTACTGAAACTACTGTGCTGAGCAAAAGGTGATCATGAGTTTAGGTTCTTGTTGTATAGTGTGGGAACCAGAACCTTTTTCCAGGGATATTATGAAATGATTTTGTGCAAAATGAACACTAAACTAGTAAAGGTTCAAACACAAGCAGTAAACTCTGTATTCATGAGACAGCAAAGTGCAGGGAGTGGACAAAATAAAGGGAACACCTCACAGCACAATAGCGCTCTGAAGTAGTTGATTTTTGTCAGATAAGACCACGTTGGGAGTTTTTGTTGAGTTCAGCCACCCTGTTCACATTACGGAGGGATACACAGCTCAGTCGGGTACGATTGTCACACCTGAGGGAAACCTAAAATGAAAACCTCTGAGCCAGCCCACACAAACACACACAGTCGTTCCCAGCTCTCCCATTTTTATGAAACTCATTTGATCATCTGCAGACTTCAGTTTCCATGTTGGTGCACGTTGTTAGCCTGCAGACACGCAGGTAAATGTGTTGTAGTGGGAAAGGCACAGGACACAGGTTTTTGGATTCCAACAGAGGTGAGTTTTTAGTTTCCCACAACATGAAAGTAATGTGAAAGTCCCACATACAAATATGTACTTGAGTAGAGCAACATGTTACGGGTCACTCTTCATGCAGAGTGACTCGTTTCAGGATAGTTTATGATGAAAGTATAAAATATTGGAAAGTACAAATACTTCAAGATTGTTTAAGTACCTTCCTTCTAATCCACCCCAGTGTAGCAGAATGTAAACCTAAATGAGCTACAGCACAGACTCGGAGTAAACGAGAGAATCTGCTGGTGTGACTGCGAGGGCCTCCAGAGGCAACAAGGCAAATCATCTGTGGGCCCCTGAGGGCCTCGACTCTAACCACCTGAAATCGTTGACTGGAGACAAATTGAAAATCAAAGCACTTCAGTCTTTAAATTGCACATCTTACCATGTAAAGACACTTTTTTGATTTGTTTGCTGTTTTTGAAATAATTTGTTTTTTTATTACTTTTTTGCATGTGTACCATTAAAATGCTGAACACAGTATTACATCAATAATTATAACAGTGTGTATTTATATATATATACATATACTGTATATATATTTATAGAGAGAGATGTGAAATGAGTATTCACTTTTTGTACTTCAAGTTTATTTTAATGCTAATACTTTGTACAAATTTGAATGCAGGACTTGTAACAGAGTATTTGTACACTTACGGAACAGAGTACTTTTCCACCACAGTATTTTATTTATTATTTATGATACTTTTTGCTGTTTGACTTCACTAGTAAAGACGTTTGATATAAACCAAGGCGTCACTTTCCGTCCTAGAGTTTCCCCATTTAGCGCCTGACTTCAGCACCGCGGACAGCGCCTCCACCACTGCTGCTGGTATTTGTAGTTTTTCCCCATATTTGACTTTGGCACTAATGAAAACGCACGAATCTAACGGAAACTAACAGAAAAACACAAAATCCCAGTTTTCTTTGCGGCCATGCAGCCTCCCCAGTCGGGGTGTTTTCTCTCCGTGCGTCGTGGTTATCTCTCGAGTCCGAGCTGCTACAAGCACATAATAAAACACCGCAATAAGACCGGAAGGGTTCATATTTGGCCTTCAAAGCAAAATTTGGACTTTATATCCTATATACAACAATCATTTAATGACGAGCTTAAGTTGTATGTGTCAGTATGTGCTGGATAAATGAATGGCATGAAAGCTTATGGCTGCCATATGGAAACCAAGAGATTTAACTTAAAACGTTGACTATAAAGGAAATGGCATAACTTGAAATAGTTATTGGTAGTACAGTGGTTGAAGTAAGTGTAGTTCTTCTCCACCAGGCATCATGTATCCTCCTCCTGGCTCAAAGAGCCTTTATTTGTTAGGGGCCACACCGGAAACGCCCTCTAAGGACCTGCTCTGTGCATCTTGACGCTTCAGCTCGCCAGTCCGAAAACCAGCGAGAAAACGTCGCCGTGATGGGACTGGTGGTCAGGGAGGGTCTCCGTTAGGCATCTGAAGCCCGGTGTCCTTGTCCTGCTCAGCCCAGTCTCTCTGCTCACCTGTCTGCCTCTCTATGGGTGGAGGGACTCGGCTCTCCTCCTGCCGAGAATCAGGACATTCCTCTCCGTCATCCGGCCGGGATGCTGCGGTCTGAGCCCGGGGCTTTCCCCCTCCTTTGCCCGATGAACCTAGATCATCTGCGGGGATTAAACTGGCTTTCGTCGCTCTGTCTCTCTGCCTTTTTCTCTTCGGCTCTCTCCGGAACTGCCCGATCTTCTGACAGTGGAAATAATGCTTTTCTTTTATTTTGTGACTGGATTGTTACACACCCTGTCCTCCTGACTCTGGTGGATGTTACTCACGCACAGATTTGTGAATGGACATGTGAGCCACGGCACCTTCTCCTCCGTCCCCGCTGTGCGTCATTCCGCGCCGAGATGATGTGAACATCCAGCGGATACCGAATGAAAAGCAGCTCGCAGCCATAAACAGGGCTGGAGCCGAGGTCGAGGATTAGTGTGGGGAGGGATTATATTTTCCAGGTGCAGAATCCTCCATTGGTTGTTTGTTCATTTGCTGTTTTTTGTGCATCTCGAGAACTTTCCTGGCGCGTTAGGATGTTTCCTCTGTTTCTGCGTTTTTTTAAGTAAGAACAATCATTTGGACTGTGTCTGCAGGCGCAGTGAGACGGAGAAACAGGCTGAGGCAGATGTGAACGAGGCTGGTACAGTAGCGCGCTCTTGTAGTAGCCCTGTTGTGTCATAAACCCAGTAAAGTTCGCATTGTTTATAAATCGTAGCTATTAAATACCACAAGGAACGATGGGATCGATATAATCTAACTACAGAACACAGGGTTAGGGTTCCTTTGGGAACTGTAACGGAAATTACACTGAAACCACCAGAGATAACGCGGCTACAGCCTTACTGTGAGCAGGGATTTGTCATTTAGCAGCAGCCCTGGGGATGAAGATGGTAGTGAAGAAGATGATGGTGGTGGCCGGTGAAGAGTCAAGTGCCCTGATCTGCATATAGCTGATTTTGAACAGCGGACATATTGTCTGTGACAGCAGTTAGAAGTGAAGACACTCTAAAACACCACAGATACGCACGGGAACTATAGTAAAACTGTGGACAATAATCTGATCATCTACGAAATATGATTACACGACTGTCACTGTAAAGTCACGCTTTACCTTCACAGACAGAAATATTCCTGGAGCCGTGTCCCAGTTAAAGTGACTGCTGCAGACAGAAGACTGGGAATACTACGGAATGAAAGTGATGAACTGATGTGGTTACAACTGTCTATGAAGCATCAGAGGGACAATACCAGGACAGAGCGTTACTGACTGTTCATTATTTCAATCAGTCTATTTGTGGGTGTAGTTTACGTCTTTCCTATATTTGTTACATTTTGTTCATGGTGGGAAACTGATATCAGCCAGAAAAACAACGACGAAGAACAGACGGACATGTGATGTCTAAAACTCTTGTCCGATTATTTGCAACTGAATCACCAAACGGCAGTTACCTCCCAGAACAGCCCGATAATAAATCTGCTCAGGTGGCGGAGTGATCCAGCACCAACAGCGGCGGTGACCCGTCAGACGAGCGGACATGTCGGACCGGAGCGCCCCGGGCTGCCGGCTCAGACTGGACTGGGTGTACGGGTACCGGGGCCACCAGTGCCGCAATAACCTGTACTACACGGCCGGGAAGGAGGTGGTGTACTTCGTGGCCGGGGTCGCCGTGGTTTACAACACCAGAGAGCACAGCCAGAGGTTTTACCTGGGACACAACGATGACATCATCAGGTAAGACTGCTGCAACACCTGGATCTGTAGGAGTCTGTTTATATGAATTAGCGGGAGAGGCCAGAAATGGACCAGAATCCTTCTACTCACTCGGTATTTCCCAGACACAGACTTCACTAATGAATTCTCTGAACCTCAGTAAAACCACTGTATCATAAATTCCCAAGTAGACTGATGCATCTGTTCACATATTGGTAAAAATGAGTCATAAAAACCATTCAATAACTAAAAACGGCTTTAGTTTAAGTCCCCCCTATAATGTCCCCTAAAAACCCCAAATATGGATGGATGATGACGGGCCCCCTGGGGACAGACATGGGAGAAGCCCCCACTCCTCCTACGATGGAGCACCTGACTGAAAGAGATAAAAATGACTAGAAACAACACATTGACGCCGTTTTTGTGTCTCTTTATGATTGTTGATCCCCGCTCACCCTCAGGAGACAGCAGCTGCTTAAACAAAGCAGTTATTTTGCACGTTGTATGTTATGTGTTGCGTATGCTATACGTAAGCCCCACCCCCCCACCCCACCCCCCCAGTGGCCCAAACATCAGTATAGCTACAAGTTGTTGCTTGTAGTTCAGGTACATTGATTAATCTTAGTCAACAGTGTCACTGTTCAAGGTAAACCTGCAGTTTAGAGGGAGGAATCACTTTGCTGATTCATTTTGTTCAGTTCGAGTCAGAGATAATGTTGTGTGATGTAGCCCCAAGCCAAGCATTCACTCAGCTAGTGCACACATCACCGTTAACATGCACTTCACAGTGTGCACCACTAGGTCCCTACAGTCTGTTTCTGGCCCAGGCTGTCAGCTTGACTCCGGCCTGTACAGGAAGTTAACAGCTCAGCAGTCTGGTTCTACGACACAGCTGTCAGGTTGTGGTTGTCTCTGTGGCCCTCACTGTGCTGAGGTGAGCTGACAGCAGAGCCCGGCCCCTGGTGAAGAGCCCAGCCCCCAGCGAGGAGCTCTGCTGCTGAAGGCCACTGAAACATTAGAACTCATTTCCCTTTCATTGTCCTTTGGGGTAACTGTTTCCAGTCCTGGCAGCATTATGATCTTGTGCTGTGCAGGCAGGTTGAGACTTTCAGAGTTCAGGGGGTAAATGTCATTACCGCTGGGTGGTTGGTTTCAGGCTGCTGAGCCACCTTCGTCAGGATGGTTTCTAATCATATTTACCTGTTGCACATTAACTGTATATAAACAGGGCTGCTCTTGGGATAAGACATTCCTTTTCCTTGGCTGTGTTGTGAAATCTGCAGTGTTTCTGGATGTCGAGGGAGTTTTCACATTTTAAATGGATGATTTAAAAAAGAGCCAGAACCGTGGAGAGCAGCAGCAGCAGCAGAAGGGATTTTCTCTGCTGATAAGAACAAATTAGAGTGAGTGGAGGAGGAAGATTCAGCCATGTCACTCATTCATCTCAACACACACACACACACACACACACACCTGGCGCACTGACCAACTCTCAACAGCCTGTGAGTCACTGGAGCAGCAGGCAGTTTATACAGCCGGTCAACCAGGTGCAGCCTGTGGCACTGTGTGTGTGTGTGTGTGTGGCGGACGTATCTGGTGAAACCACATTCACTGTACTGCACTAGTCACTAAGTCAAGCTTTATTTCTATCATAGTTTTCAAAGCCAGGGTTATGACGTGCCTCACAGACACCAAAGACGATAAAGATGCTTAAAATGGCAGTAAACACAAGATAAATTGTTTATAATAGGATCAGGTCAAAGCACGGAAGCATCAACATTTCCTGTACTGGCTTTGAGAATAAATAGCGTTTGTGACTAACCTTCCACAATCCAGGAGCCAGGGCAGATCACAGCTCTTGCTTTTTATTTATTTACAGGAAACAGTTCATCTTCTTGGTTAAAATTCGACAAAAACACAAAAGTTGAGTTTTACTGGCTTTTGTTAGATCTTTTTCCCTTGTGACTAAAATGTGAGTAAACAGCTGAAACCAGAAGAGACCGAAGAGCTTGTTTAGGGCAACAGATGGGCTCAGTGATTTTTTTTTACCTATATTTGAGGCATTTTGTCTGGTTGAAGTTGGTATTGGCTGCTCTGCTTCTCCTCCTGCAGACTGGAGCTGATGTGGACAAACCTGCAGATGACTGAACGAGGAATTGCATTTGCATTTTAATCACTTTGCCAGTGCTGTGATTCAGACAGACTCGCAAAAAACACCAGACGCCACCTCACCAAATTTTACAAGCAAGCAGAATTCAGGTCAAAGGTCGCACCACTTTATAAAAATACATACATATGTGTGTGTCTGTGTACATTTTGGCAGATTGTTTCTGCTCTACTTGTTTTTACATTTCCAAAATACAATCTATGCAATCTAAGTATATTTGATAACCTTTTCAAATGCGTGTATACCAAATGTTCATTACCAGAACTAAACTCCACTAATTACTTTACTTGTACTTATAGTTCAATAAATACAGTATGTTACCGAACACAGAAGAAGCTTTATTTTATTGCCATTGTGCAATGACATTTTATTTGGAGCCAAGGGCTGCTGTGTGCATACATGCCGCCAGGTTCAGTGTCTTGCCCAAGGACACTTCACCATGTGGACTGGAGGCACTGAGATTCGAACCGTCAACCTTCTGGTTGGGAAATGACTGCTCTACCCACTGCACCACAGTTGCTTTTGTAGAACCGTGCACTATCAGCTTGTATCTGCTTATTAAGCCAAACCAGAGTGATGTGGCTTCTCAGAAACAATCCATTTCGATGTACTGGATGTTGAGTTTCTCCTTCCTGCCATTTTTCAAGTCAGACATATCTGCGGCTACTTGTGCTGAAAGCAGTGAGTCATAATAACTGCACTTGTTTCTCTCTCGCCCTGATGGATCACTTCAGTAATTGCAGGCTCCACGTTAATGAATTAAGCCCATGTTGAGTTTTTGTGAAAGGGAGAAAGTGGGTCTGTCTTTTTCTTTCATTGGCTCTTTCATGGCCGAGGCCTCCTGGGGGGTGGGGGGAGTCGGCCTTTATGTTGCTCTGCAGCGAAGCATCAGGCCACGGCTGAATAGCAGTGATTACCATCACAGTTTGGATGCTGCTGCAAAGAGCCCACGTTTCCAGTTCACTTCAGATCTGTTGTGTTGTGTGAGTTTGCTTCAGGGTTTCAGCTGGAGTCCGAACCACAGTTCAGTGGTTATCTTCTAAACTCTGTGGCCGTGTGAAGTACGTTCACTGCATGGAAGATGGAACCGAGTGTCAAAGTTTCATGAAATCCAAACCTACAGCCAAATCCACTGATTGATTCCAAATCCTTTTACGTCTTACGTCTTCTTAAACATTGTGGTTTGGGTTAAAATGAGTGGAAGACCAACTCGTGGCTGGAAACAGTAGCGACTGACTGTACTACAACACCGTACACACATGTGTACTCCACGCCACTCGGCTCAGCTGCAGCCAGGCCTGCACTACCAGCTCTCGTACTTCCCATACATGCCAACCTGCCGCCCGTACACTGGCGTGGGACTCACAGTAGACTGTGGACATCACTGCTGAGTCCTGCTGCCTGCAGTGAGGTTACACAACTCACACAGCTGTTAGTGCACGTTAGTGTTAATCACTGTTTTGTATTTATATTTAAATACTTAAGTGAACACCACACTGACAGGTTATAACCTTTAAAGTTGATGTATTGTGTCAGCAGATAGTCTCTTATTCCCACCTCCAGCATACACGGATCAACATGCTCCTCCGTGCACAGTGTGTCTGTGTTCCCCCAATGAGCCTCAGCCTGGTGCTCCCTCTCTGTTCACTCTGTGTTTGGTCTCCACCACCTCCTGATGAAAACCTCTGGTTCTGGAGCTGCTAAACGCTCCACTGTGTTCCCCAGCTGTTCTCTGACTGGCTCTGTCTGCTGCTGAGCAGGTCGTGGACAGCGGCGGTTTAGAGCATCTCCTCTGGAAACAGCTGCTTCCTGCTGCTGCTGGAAACACTGAGGCTGAACCGGGCAGTAAAACCAAGACTAGAGGGTGGAGTGGAACAGTGGAGCTGTGGTCTGACATTAAAAACAATGTGCTGAGACTCGCTGTGAAGCAAAGGGAGCTGCACATTCAGCTGATCAGGCCCATCACTACCACACACACCGTTCACCCCGTCACACTGTCATTTCATTGCTGTTATAAAAATATAAACTATAGCTACTTTAAGAGTTGTGGACAGCTGTGGCTCAGGAGGTAGTGCAGTTTGTTTCCTAGTTGGAAAGTTAGCTGTTTGATTCCTAGCTTCTACAGTCACCGTGTCAAAGTGTCCTTGAACCCCAAGCTGCTCACGGTGATAGCACAGGTGTGTGTGTGTTTGGGAGTGTGAATGGGCGAATGGGCAAACTGTGCACTTTGAGTTTGCTGCAATGCATAGAAATTATTTTATCTACCACTTTAAGTGCCAGATCCTTGCTTGTTCACCAAATGTCAGCTTGCTATTTCAGAAAGTATCTTTCAGATGTTACCGATTTGATGTTTTGGCCTTGAGGGAGTTTAAGAAAAAAGATGACACATCTCCTGAAGAGAAAGACATTTAACTCCCAATTTTCAAACCTCATTCTCTCTGTCACACACAGGCTGCTGTTTGTGTTTCCAGCCGCAGAGTGTTGAGTATCTGTTGGTTTCTGTGTTGACATACAGAACCTGACAGACACAGTGCAGTGGAAACACAGTCACACACACTGTAGGTAACACAACTACTCATGTCTTGTTTAGTCTACACAGATGACTCTGGGTTTTCCTAACAACGTGGATTCTTGTAGCTTTTGAAAAACCTGCAGGTTAGCAGTTGCATGTTTCAGCCCCTCTTTTTCCTGGGATGTAAATCAAGTTATAGATGTTGGTGCTGGTTGAATGCAGAGGGGCTGTCAGCGTGACCTGCAGGCTTATCAGCAGCAGCAGCCACAAACCAGCCAACTAATGCAGAGCTGAGGCTAATCAGCAGAGACACCCTGGGCATGAAGTGTCTGTGTTTGTGTC